CTGGCTCGGCTCTGGCTGCTTCCTGCAGCTGCCCCCTGAGCCCACCCCAGCCGGGGGGCTCCCAGGCACGGGGCTGCCGCCGCCTTGTCGGGGCTTAGACCCCATCCCAGCCGCGCCTCCCTTCCCTTGGGTCCTCAGCTATCAATAATGAGGACTGAAGTGAACGGGATTTGTTCGTCTCCTGCTGACTTCAGTGCTCGAGAAGTCACAAAGCCGACACCCAGGAGACCTGCCTTGTGCTTCCCTGCTGCAGCCAAGTGTCCTTCTCTGCGGGTCCCTGACGAGGATTTGGGTATTTCCAGCTGGATAGCAAGTGGAAGGGTTTTCACGGCACCTTTCTTCCTATGCCAACTGAGTCATTTCATGGGGACTCTGCATTGACCCGCTTCAGCTCAGGAGTCACCCACAGGCGACCTGTTTGGTCCCTCTGTCGCCTTCGCAGAATGATGGGGTGATTGGAGACAGGTTACTCTCATCTCGCACCCCATGAAGGCCTGCCCACCTTTTTTTGGAAACCTTCTGCTTAGGGGCGAAGGTGCATTCCTCCAGCTGAGACCGCTCCCAGCAGGGACACTCATGTCTGGGACCATGAGAGCATTGTCACCCCTGAGCTTCCCAGAGGGACAGCCACGAGCCAGGTCTGCCCATTTTCTAAGGGTACTATTGGACCTTCTAATAATTCAGGGCTGTAGGAAGGCTCTGCTTTCAGCAAAATTGCAAGAGCTTGAGCTCTCTTTAAATAGCACGCTGGGCCGCTTAACTCTTTTGTGGGGAGAAGTTACAAACAGCATTTTTGCCTCAGAACTGTCTGATTCCTGACTTTAGGATGTAAAGGACCACACACACACATGCCTATAGCTTCTTAGTCGGACATCCCCTCCCCCGCCCTCCCCTCCATGCAAACATTGTCCAAGTTAATACAGAACCACGATGGGGAGAAGCGGTCTATAATGCTGTCTGTTCATTGGGATCCTGTTGCTACAGGCTCTGTTCTAGCGAGCAACGTGCAATTTACCATCCCTGCCTGTGGTATCAAATGTTACCGTAAATGCCACTGGCATTGGGAACCTGTTTGGAAATTCCTTTTGTTACTGGAGTTCATACATCCTTTTTTCTGGTCAAGAAGTTTGTAAACTTTTTTTTAAGCAGAAAAGAAAGACCCCACACCTCCTTCCAAGTAAAGGAAGATGGATATAGTGTCAGGCTCAGTTAGATCCAATTGTGATGGCTTTGCAAGAGGAGAACAATGTAGCTTTTGTGATGAACCCCCCCCCCCCCCCCCGCAAAAAAGCTTGGAAGTTTTACAATAATAATAACAATCCCGTGGCATCTAGGTGCGAGCCTCCCTCCCTGAGGTGCAGTGCAACTCTGCCCTCTTCACAGGGAGAAGTTTTTGACTTTGAAGTGAGGCCTCAAGAGATAAGAAGGTGATACAATTATAGCTTCAAACAAAGCATTATGTACACTTTGCTCTGAGTCAAAAATATAGTGAAATGTGCAGGTTGAGCAGCTTACAGCTGAAGGCAGCCATAACCCCTTTGCCAGGGCCACACTGATATCATGGACCTGCAGCATAACCACCTGAAGTCTAACTTGAGAGGTGTTTGCTCCAGGAGAATAGTTTGGATGAAACAGACTGGCCTGCTTAGCACTGGAAGTGCTTAAAATGCAAATGTACAGGAACTCCAGACCATCCCCCACCCCCTCCCTCCTCTGCATGAAGGAAAGCAGCTTAAATACAGCCAGGCCTGGAGAGGAATGTTAAAAAGAGGGGAAGAATCACCCTCCTCCTTTCCATAGGGACCCTCACACGGGGAGATTCAGTATGCATGACTGAACAAGCAAGCAAGGACAGCTCCTCTTTTAACTTTCCTGAACAATGGCTTCAGCTTCTTCCACCATTTCACATTCTCTCTACCCCCAACCCCTCCTTTAAAAAAGGAAGGAGGGAGGAGGCGGGGGAGAGAAAGCCCTGCTGCAGGACTTAGAGGGAGAAAAGCTTTGTTTCATGCCCTATAAACACAGCTTAAGCCCAGTCTTGAACAACAATAAAAGATCCACATCACAGTAGCCTAAAAAGGGCCCTATCAGGTTAAAAGTCATTCATTAGAGAGAGATTTGGATGGAAAGGACACCTTAGATTATTCAAACAAAATTTTTTTTTAAATCCATTTCTTTTCTACTTTGCATTTATCTGTTTTGGCAGTGAAAATTGACTAGGCCATTTCACTTTCCCTGGTCATTCATTTCCAGGTTGTTATACTCTAGCAAGAAAGTGCAGTTTTGGGTTATAAACATGGCAGGGAAACCTCTGGCTTTTTGGCAGATGGTAAGGGGGACCAATTGCCCTGCATTAAAGAAAAGTCACAAGACAACCACCTTTTGTCTCAAGTTTTTTAAAACTTCCCCTGCACCCAAATGTCAAGTTGGATCTATTACATGGTGTGTCAGTTGCTTCATTAACGAAGTGCCAGTTGCAGTCAGTCAATCTAACCCCAAACTGAATAGACACCTACAATTTGTAGTTTGACTCTTTTGCTATAGACCTGGAGACTGGTCCTTCCAAAAGGAAGCAATTTTTGCAAACTTCTAATTATGTTGCTCAACATCCTGCACAGGAGGGACCAGACTCTCCATTTCCTTTTACTCATTAGACTTAATCAGTCATTGAGACAAGAAAACAGCCCAAACCCTCTCTAAGCCATGCACCATGTTTCTCAGAAACCAGTGGACAATGTCTTTAAAATGCAAAGACAACACAGATACAGCTTTTTTTCAAAAACATACTTCATATTTCCTCTTTTATTATATAAATATCAGTTTAACCTTTTACTGTAAGAATATAAAATGTTTTAAGAGGATCTTTGTTATTTTTTATACAAATTCACAAACAGTACAATTAATCCATAGGGGTCTCTGGGTTTGCTTTAACTCCATGGTCTGGCCTGTTACTGTGGAGGATTTGAGGATCTGAACAACAACCGGGTGGGGGGAAGGGGAAAAAAGCCAAGGAATTTTTCTTCAAAAATTAATCTTGTATTCTTCCTCTTTAAAATTATAATAATAATAATTATAATAATAATAATAATAATTAAAAAAATCTAAAGAACCAGCTCCATTTTATTGGCAGAACAGAGATAAGACTGAAGTTCATCTGTCTCCTCCCCTTCACATTACAACCTCAGGGCCTGCAGGCCTGCTCTGCTCCTCTCTCCATTTAAAAACAGGAAGCCTCACACAGTGACCATTTTTGTAGGTGATTTGAAAGGGAGGGGGGAAATATTTGCATATATAGGTCTCTATATATTTAAGAACTGAACTCGCATTTCACACATTTCTTTTAACAGTAGCCCAATCCTTGGATGGATGCTCATGTGTTACACGTGTTTGTGCTAGGAGAGTTTCCAAAAACAAACAAACAAACAAAAAGAAGAAACACAGAAGCACAGTGGGGTCCCCAAGCCCAGCTGGAGAAGGAGTGAGAGGCACAGCCAGAAAGTGAAGGTGGGAGGGAAAGCTTAAAAAAAAAAAAAAATACAAACCCAAGGGGCATTTTTCCAGTCTAGGCACAAAAATGTTTGTCTCAAAATCTCTTTCCTGTAAGAATTCCAGGGCTTTTGAGAAAAAAAGTAACAAATTAAAACGAGGTAGCCAGACATCATATATATATTTATATATATAGAATATATTCAGCAGAAAAAAATGTACTTAAAAATCCACAAGAACAGCAACTTCAAATGTCTTTAAAAATAAAACCATGTAAGAAAATGAATACTGTAAAGAGAGGAGAATGGATGAGGAAAACTGGGATCAGTTACAGGACATAAGCAAGGGGAGTGGTGGGGGAGTAAGAGGCTGTTTTTGTAGTAGTTACTTTTTTTTAGGCATTTCAAAATAAAAACAGGTCACAGTATCTCAAATGAAAGCAAAAGTGAAGCTGGAGATTCTTCCTTAAGTCCCCTGGGCAGGTAGGTGCTAGTCACCTTCTACCTGCTCACCCCAATCCAAAAAGGAATGGATATGTGGCTGGATATGTCTTTATTCCCACTGCCAAGAAAAAGGAAGAGAGAGAATAATGAAAGGGAAGATGTGTGGCTAAGGTGACTCGGGCCTTCCAAAAGCTGGGAGCTCTGAAGGTGGGGAAGAAGGAACAGAATAGAAGGAAACTGGGTTTTCATCCCCAGTGCAAGGAGATGGGAAAAGAAGGGAGTGTCTCGGTTTTCTCTCCCAGGGTGACACCGAGGTGCGTCCCCATGCCCCTGGTATAACTTTTCTCTGTTCCCAAAGCACGGAAGAACTGGAATGGCGGGAGATTATCCACCCCCAGTACAGGAGGGGAGACTGGAGCCGGGGGCCTGACTGAAGTGAATGGAATGAGTGCATGTGAGGAGGGTGCTTCTGTGGCTGTCTCCAGATGACTGGGGGGGAACAGGCAAAGGTGGAATGGTCTGAGCAGGTGGTCGGTGTCCCTAGGAGAGAAGGAGGGGATAGCTGGACATGGGAGGTGGCGCTAGTAAGCTTTTTTTTTCTTTTTCTATTGAGGGGGAGGCAGGGAGAGAAGAGAGGCCTGTTCCCACCTCCAATTCCACCCCCGCGTCTGCAAAATGTTTCCAGTCCCCAAAATGTAGCTGGACTGGGGATAAATAAGGATGGGGGAGGGTCTGTCTTTATCCATCCCTAGTGCACAAGGGGATGGACTCAGGGGGTCATGGGTAAAGACGGGTATCTTCAGCCCCAGTGCATAAGATTGTGGGCCTCTATCTCCTATGCCAAGGCAGGACGATGAAGAGGGAGTGGGGGGAGGGGAGGGACATGGACACTGCATCCCAAGTAGAAACCCAGGGGCATGGCAGGGCACAGAAGGGACAGGCATTCTCTCTCCTGCCTCCCGGCCAGCGCAGCCACAGGCAGGTGGCGTAGGACAGGGGTACTCTCTCCGTCCCTCCCTCTGGTGCTGGGGCAGCGGGTAGCATGGCTCTGTGCGTGCCCCTCTCTCTCCTCCATTGCAGCAGTCAGTGAGTCCCTCTAGAGGGGGTGGAGGTCTCGGGTGCCCCCTCGTCTCACCTGACCTTCTCGCTCTCAGTCATTTGCCAGAGTCCCAGGTTGAGCACCTTGAGGCAGGGCAGCTGGGTGATGCGCTCCAGGCCCCGCTTGGTGATGCGGGTGCAGCCATAGAGGTCGATGCCGGTGAGCTGGCTGAGGTGCTCGGCAATGAGCTCCAGGCCCTTGTCGGTGATGCGGACGCACTGGCCAATGTTGAGGGTGCGGAGGCCGTGCATCTGGCGCACCATGCGGTTGATGCCCTCGTCACTGATGTGGCAGGAGCAGAGGGAGAGGGAGCGCAGGCCGTCCAGTCCCTGGGCGATGTAGGCCAGGCTCTGGTCGCCCACCTTGTCGCAGAAGGAGACGTCAAGGCCGGAGAGGCGCAGGCTGCCCATGGCCAGGTGCATGATGCCCGTGTCGCTGATGTTGTCGCAGGAGCGCAGGTTGAGGCTGCGCAGGCTGCTCATGTGCGACAGGTGCAGCAGCCCGGCGTCTGAGATGCCGCCACAGAAGCTGAGGTTGAGCTGGCGCAGCCGGGCCAGCCCCCGGGCCAGGTGCTTGAGCGACAGGTCGCTCAGCTTCTGGCAGTCCTGCAGCGTGAGCTGCTCCAGGCCCAGACAGCCCTCGGCCGCGCTGCGCGTCATGCCCGCCAGGTGCCCAATGCCCACATCCGAGAGGTGGCGGCAGGAGCGCAGGTTGAGGCTCTTGAGGCGCTGTAGCCCCCAGGCGATGAGCAGCAGCCCCGTGTTGGTGATGTTGCTGCAGCCGCCCAGCTCCAGCACCTCTAGGCCCTTGAGGTACTGGGCAATGCGGCCCAGGCTGCTGTCTGTGATCTGCTTGCACAGGCTCAGGTTGAGCGAGCGCAGGGAGCCGATCTCGGCCACGAAGGCGTGGCCCAGCCCGTTGTCAGTGAGGTTGTAGCAGCCGCTCAGGTTGAGGCTCTCGATGGCCGCCATGCCCTGG